CCGACTACGTGGCACCAAATACACCCTCCTTTCCGTCCTTCGGGTCTTGGAAGACGTAGCTAATCGACCAGCACTCAGTGAGCCCAAACACAGCCTCAGAATCCACCCCGAGGCTCCACCAGAAGCAACCTGTCTCCTCCGCCAGTGGGTGTTGAGGGGGTGTTTATGGAGCGCCTCCCACCGTTCAATTTCTCTAACGTGAGCCGAGACTTACCTGCAATTTCTGTTCTCGGCCGATGGAGATAAGGAAACGGAAGCGCTGAGGGTTGGCCAGTGTCATGTAGGAACTCAGTGACCGGACCTCCCGACCCTTGGGCAGCCTCCTTTCCTGTGGCGTTCTCCTGATTCTAGCACAGAGAGGAGGCCCGTCCCTGAGTGGAGATTTCCACTCTCGACTGCTGCTGCACAAGGCAAACAAAGAGACTCGAGGTCAGAGGAGAGCCAGAGAGCTTAGCCGCTGACCTCTCTTGCCGAGCGCTGTCTGGAGACGAGCATGGGTGGGAACCGAGAAGCACGTGGGCTTCCTGCCCTCGGATCATTCCCAGAGAGGACAGGGTGTGCACTTGGGACAATGTCACGCTGGAGGCTGAGTGGCATACATCAATGCCTGTCATGGCTCCCTCGGTTGAGCCCCCGGCCCGCAGACAGGTGGAAACTTCTGGTCTACAACAAGGCCCCCCACCCCTCCCCAAGGTCCAGGTGAGAAAACTGAGGCTCAGCAAGAACGGATTTCCCCCAAGTCACACAGCCGGTGAGCTGCGGGGCCAGGACTCAAATCCATCCCGGATTCCCGTGCAGCTGACTCCTCCGGGAGCCTGCGGGAAGTGCTAGGAACCGGATGGTGGAGGCGGTGGGGCATCTGAGAGGAGGGTCCTGGCTGGACCCCCTGGACGGAGAACCACCCAAGGGGGCTGTGCCCAGAGGCCTCTGACGGTTCCCGCAGGTGTAGGACCACCGTGATTATGGCAGCACCTGTGACGTCCACTCCCCGGGCTTAGACCCAGGTCCAGCGTCTGGCCCTTGAGAAGCACCCAGTTTCACAGATGTGGCCAATTTTTATTGCTTATTTCCTCTTGGAGACCTACTTTTAATTTCTCTGGCTTTTCCCTTCTTCAGGGGGTCTGGTCCTCATCAAGACAGCCCTGTCTGACGACAAAAGCAGAGGCTTCCAGGTGGGCTGGACGCACCCACGCCTCCGGTGGGTCTGGCAGAGGCTGGAAGGAGAGTCAGGTTTGTGGCCAATCCTTTTCCTCATCAGCAGTCAGCTCCCTGGAGCCCCTGAGAGAGGCTCTGGAGGGGCTGCTGATGGCGGAACCAGCTGGAAGGGAAGTGCGAGGGCAGATGTGGCCGCAGCGAAAGCCCGCGGTCGCCAAGCTTCACTGCAGTGAGTTGGAAAAGGTGCCCCACTTGGAGCCATGAGACCCAGGCCCAGGTTCCGGGGCCACCACTCACTGCTAAGCCCTTTTGCCTCGGTGAGACTCAGTTTATCCCCAGTAGTGCCTTGCACCCTGAGGCACTGCCTGTCCAGTGGATGTTACTTGTCCCTGTTGTTGGCTAACCTCACTGCGGACAACAGCTGTGCTGTGGGGGCCCAAGGGAAACAGAAGACATATTTCTGCCCCAGCCGCAGCCTGGCCCTTCTCTCTCAGGCCCCGGAACTGCCCTTAGCCTCAGGAGTTCCTGGCTTCACCCTTTGTCCAGGACCTTCGGAGAGATTCTGATAACAGCAGTTCGGAGGCGGAGAAGTTCGGGGACAGCATGTCCCTGCAACAAAGTCCTAACCTTCTTCTCCCTCCTCCAAGTGCTTCAGACCAGAAGAGGGGAACTTGTTACTTGGGACATGCAGGGACACTGCTTGGAATCCTAAACTCTGCCAAAGGGTTTCTGCCTGCTTTGGTGTGGTTCCGTGTCATACGTCTAACAATTTCAGGTAAAAATGGGACACATGGGAAAGTTATAGAGATGTTCCTTTTGATCATAAAAGAAAAAAAAAAAAAAAAAAAAAGGAAAAACCCCAGACAACCTAACAAGAGTAATTTGAAGAAAGATTTTGTCGGCTTGTGTAATGGAAAAGTCAGTGGTAGGGTGGGTTTCAGATAAAGTTTGATCCAGCCACTCAATACTTACACTGGGATCCAGAGTGCCCCAGCACCAACCCCTTTTCTATATACATCTGTGTGCATATGCCCCCCAGAATGGTTACCCCGACCCCCAATATCCATGACCTTTCAGCTCAAGTGTCGAGGGTCCGAGGCGTGTTCAGATATCGGTGGCCGGACCACAAGGGTCACATGTCTGTTCCACTTCAGTAGAGGCAAGATGTCTGAGAAGCCCTCCCAATACCTCCTGGAGAAGTGGGGGCTCAGCCCTGGCAATGCCCCCCCTTGACCGGAGACTATCCGAAGAGTCTTGTTTTGTTCTTAATTCGTAACTTCAGGAAAATTTTAAGTTTGGTTCTGGTTAGAATTTTCTTGTCTAGCTATTTCCTGAGGCTCTGTTTCTTGTTCATTTAGGAGGAGAAACGCAGACTTGGGCTCTGCTACGTATCTGCACTGCCAGTGGGTCCAGGGTCACCCAAATGGCTGCTGACAGGTCGGGGGGGGGGTGGCTTTTCCAAACAAATCTGCATTATTTTATTACTTTCATACCAGGAAGGAGGTTTGATCTTCCGCACCTGCACTTACGTCATCGATTAGGCTGGAAGAACTTGTTTGGCCAAATTTAGAACCCACAAGAAGGTCAGAGGATAAATTTAGAACTGAACTCTGAACTTTGAGGGCCAGCCTGGCACTGCTAATTCCGCCTGCCCCCTTGAGTTGGGTTGCTTTTCCCTCTGACTCCTGTGTCCACAGAGTGCTTGTGGCATCACAGGCTTGAAGAGTAAGACCTGGGATCTAGGCCTGTCTCTACTTCTCAGAGCTGTGTGACTCTGGGAAAAGTATTCAACCTCTCTGAGCTTCAGTTTCATTATCTTGTAAAGAATGAGGGTGGCAGTGGGTAATAAAAACATCTACCTTGGGGCGCCTGGGTGGCTCCGTCGGTCAAGCGTCCGACTTCGGCTCAGGTCATGATCTCGCGGTCCGTGGGTTTGAGCCCCGCGTCGGGCTCTGTGCTGACAGCTCAGAGCCTGGAGCCTGCTTCCCTCTCTCTCTGCCCCTCCCCCGTTCATGCTCTGTCTCTCTCTGTCTCAAAAATAAATAAAGGTTAAAAAGAAATTTTAAAAAAAATCTACCTTACAAAATGCTAGGAAGATTAAGATTTTTTGTTGTGGTGGTGGTGAAATATACATAACATAGAATGTACCACATTACCCATTTTAATAATTTTTTAAAAAGTTTATTAATTTTTGAGAGAGAGAGAGAGAGACAGAGAGAGTGCAAGTGGTGGAGGGTCAGAGAGAGGGAGACACAGAATCCGAAGCAGGCTCCAGGCTCTGAGCCATCAGCCCAGAGTCTGACGCGGGGCTCGAACTCACAGACCGTGAGATCGTGACCTGGCTGAAGTCGGACGCTTAACCGACTGCACCACCCAGGCGCCCCTATAATTTTTTTTTTAATGTTTCACATTACCCATTTTTAGGTGTGCAGCTCTGTGGCGTTAGGAACATTCACGTTGCTGAACAACAATCACCACCATCCGCTCCAGAACTTTTTCATCTTCCTCAGCTGAAACTCCGTCCCCATTAAATGCTAACTCCTCAATCCCCCTTCCCCAGGCCCACCCTACTTTCTGTCTCCGTGACTTTGCTCTCAGGACGTCATCTAGGAGGAATCGTACAATAATCGCTCTTTTATGACCGGCCTACTTCATTTTGCACAATGTCCCCAAGGTTCCTTCACGTTGTAGCCTTCCCTGTAGAATTCCCCTCCTTTTTAAGGCGGAACAGTATTCCGTTGTGTGGCTAGGCTGCATTTTATTTATCTATTCATCCGGTGATGGACACTTGGGTCGCTTCCACCTTTCGGCCATTGTGACTAACGTTGCTGTGAACACGGGTGTGCAGATATCTGTTCAAGTCTGGGTACAAACCAGAAGTGTGATTAAAATATTGCCTGCAGAGCCCTTAGCGCGTGCTTGGCATATAGTAACCATTCAGCCCTGTAGCTGATAAAACTAGCGTTAGGAAAATAGTGGGGGAAGTGTTTTGAAATGCAAATTAAAGAATGAAATGTCAAGTGAGCAACAGCTAAAAAGTAATATTCCTCCGTGCGGTTGGGGTCTAGTGGGATGTGTAATGACGTACAAAAATTATATATCTTCCTCCCGTAAAATAGGTACCATTTATGGAGCACCTACTATGTGCTGGAAACTCTGCTAAGCTCTGTATACATTTCCTCTCATCTCCTCCTCCCACCCAAAGGGGCGGGCCTATTACTCCATCTGACAGATGAGGAAACAGAGGTTCCAAGTGGTAACATGACTCTCTAGGTCTCGCGGCCAGCAAGGGGCAGAGCTGGGATTCAAACCCCAGCCCTCGGCTCCAAGAGTAGAAAAGCACTGGAAAAAAGTGCGCAGTAAAGGCTGATCGGCCCCCGGGGGGGAAGGGAGTGCTTACTTTTCTCCTCACATTGGTGTGTATTTTTGCCCCAAACCAGGGGGGAGAAAAAGCGTGTATTAAATTGGACACACGCGCGTGCGCACGCACACACGCACACAGCCCAACGCAGGAGAAGAGACAAAGCCAGCAGTAGCCAAAACTCTGCTCGATCGATGCAGACTGTTACAGGCGCAGCTTTCCAAAAAGCAGAGCTCAGTGAAATAAATATTTTTCCTGTGAGAAGAGGCTTAAGTTGGCGATCGTAACAACCCCCCGATTCATTCCAGATCCGCTCAGAGTGGCTGGCGTCAGGATGCCCATCTTGATGTACTTAGCATCACTTAGTAACTGCAGCGTGCCTGCGTGTCTGGCTGGTTTCTCCCAGGCAGCAGTGTGCCAGGGTGGCTGGGCAGGGGGGCAAGAAGGAGTTTGTCTCTGGAGAATGCTCTCCCCACTCCTCCCGAGCTCCCACAGCTCCTTGGGGTCCCTAACTTTCTTTCCCTGGTAAAGCAGCACCATTTGATCTAAAGTGGAGGGCCTGAGAATTCAGCCTCTTTTCTTGGCAAAGGCTCCGTTCTTTCGGTCCTTGGAGACAGTCTGTGGGAGGAATTTAGAATCAGGGACTTTGAAAACACATACACGTGAAGAAGCCTGGGTTATCTCAAAAGCTGGGAGCTTTACAACCCAGACAAAAATTCATTGATTGACGGAGTGATTCATTCACTCAGTTGCATGCTCAACAATGCTTTATTGGGCTACCTCCCAAGGGTTAAGATTTGGTACAAACTTAGTATAAGACAGTACAAAGCTTCTGGAGGTACAAGGTTCATTCATTCGTTCATCCATGCACTAACTGACTCGTTCAGCGGGTATTTACTGAATGCCTCCTAGGTTCCAGGTCCTTTCCTGGTAGTGCTGGTCCATTAAGAGCGTGCACTCTAGGTGGGGTGACAGACAGAAGGCAAGGAAAATACAGTGAGTAGGATATCTGCTGGTGTTCAGTGCTAAAGAGAAAAATAAAGGAGTGATGGGAAATTGGGAAATGGGAGGGCAGGGCTGGTCCCACTTAGATGAGGGGCTGGGAGAGGCCTCACTGGGAGGTGATATTTAAGTCCCAAGCTGCAGGAGAGGAGGGAAGATGATTCAGGAGGGGCACGTATCACGTAACAGTGACTCGCAGATCATGTGAGTCCCCTTTCAATTATCTTTCAGTCCCGATTAGGCCAAAGAGAAAGTCTTTTTGTTGTTTGTACGTCCTTCGTGCCTCCCTAAGACCTACTAATCTCCCCACTTTGAAAGAACAGGCTTAGCAGGTAACATGCCTACCTGCGCTTGAACATGGCCCTGGGTTCGGTGTGAATATTTCCCACTTCCTGTTTATGTTTTTGTTGATGGCAAATGATGCAGGCTCTTCTTTTACAGTTGTGATTCAATTGTCCTTCCAAAACAGCCTTCGTTTTTGAAAAGCGAGTTGATTTTTTAAAAAGTATTCAGGGGCACCTGGGGGGCTCAGTCGGTTAAGCGTCTGACTTCGCCTCAGGTCGGCTCAGGTCATGATCTTGTAGTTCATGGGTTCGAGCCCCGCATCGGGCTACCTGCTGTCAGCACAGAGCCTGTTTGGGATCCCTTGTCCACCCCCACCCCCCTGACCGCCCCTCCCCTGCTCTCTCTCTCTCTCTCGCTCTCTCTCTCTCTCAAAACTAAATACGCTTGAAATAAATAAATAAGTAGAAATAAATAAATAAGTACCACAGGCGGTACTGCTGTGTGGGGAAATCGTAACGGCGGTAAATGCATGAAATTTGGGACACACTAAGCAAGACGTAACCCTTCTCCTCGCGCTGCTTGGAGCCTGGCTCGGGAAATGAAATCTTTTGAGTGGGATTCAGTCTGCCGAAGGCCTCCGGAAGAGGATGGAGCTTCCCATGGCTAGGGTGGATCGGGGAAGGGGGCTCAGAAAAGGTGCTGCTGGGGGCCTGCTTCGAGGCGAGGGCCAGCGCTCGGACCCGCCCGCGAAGGGCCAGCAGGGCATTGCAGGAAACAGCAGGAGCACCGTAAGCCAAGGTCCAAGGTCGAGGGGGTGGAAGGATGAAGAAAACCAGCCAGGCAGCGGATAAGGGAGCAGAGTTGCTTGAGGAGGCAGACTCTCCGGAAACCGCCCCAAATCTGTGCTAGTCCAGTGACTAATCCTAACGCGAATGCTAAAACGTCTCTTTACGGAGCACTGCTTTCTTGCGTTGTCTCATGCAATCTCAGCAGACCCGCGACGGAGTGCTGTTGTTATGGCCCCATTGTACAGATGGGGAACTTGGGGGCACAGGCCAAGTCACCTGCCCAAGGCCGCGCGGCCAGCAATGACCTGTCGAGACTTTTTTAAGCCTATTTTTGAAAATCGAACTAGAACTCACGTACCATGAAGTTCACGCTTTCAAAGTGCGCTGCCCCCGCAAAAAAACCCCATCCCCATTAGCAGCCGCCACCCCCTCCCATCCTTGTCTGCCCCCAGCCTCTGGCAACCACTAATCTATGTTCCGTCTCTATGGATTTTTGCCTGTTCTGGACATTCCCTAGAAATGGAATCATATATTACGTGGCCTTCTGTGTCTGGCTTCTTTCATTCAGCGTAATGTTTTCAAGACTCATCCACAGGGCGACATATACGGCTGCCTCATTTCTTTGTACGGCTGGACGTTAGCCTGTTGTATGGATATACCACGTTTCGTTATCCACTCGTCGGCTGAGGAACATTTGGGTAGTTTTGGCTCCTGGGCCATCGAGAGTAAAGCTGCTTTGAACATTCGCGTGCAGGCCTCGCGCGGACGTATGTTTTCGTTTCGCTCGGGTGCACGTCGGGGAGTGGAATTGCTCAGCTCGGTCTTGTAACTCGGTGCTTAACCACTTGAGGGACAGCCAAGCTGTCTTCAGAGTGGCCGCACGTCTTACGTCCCCGCCCGCGGTGTCCAAGGGGCCGATCTGTCCACGTCCTCGCTGGCGCCTGTTGTCCGTCGCTTAGGTTACGGCCATCCTCGTGGGGGCGGAATGAATCTCACTGCGGATTCGATTTGCTGGGGAAGAAGCCAAGTGGCGTTTACTTAGAAACTTGAAGCGTCCACTGCTGGTTCCCGGGTCCGAGGGAACAGAGAGGCAGGTGCGCTGATTGAGTCTGGACGTGAGGGTCGGTGGCCAGGGTTGGGGACTGCTCGGAGGACCGGGCCGCAGGAGCAGTTGGAGGGGTTGCGGGGTTCAGAGCCTAGGGGAATCTGGGGGTGCGGTGGGGTTGGTGGAACTGGGAGACTGGAGCTTCCTGTCTCCCTGGGTCCCGGATCAGCCTCTTTTCAAGGAAGGAGGCTTGGCCCCAGGCTTCCTTTACCCAGAATGAGACAGGAGCTGAGTGGCAGATCTCCTCCTCGGAACAGCCAGCGCAGAGGGCGTCTCGAGGAGGGAACTGCACCAGGGCTCTCTGTGCCCCCCGAGGATGTCATGCGGTACCACCTACTGTCTCCAAAGTTTTGGCTTTCCGGGTCCTGATTCCCCAGGGGAATCCTGTAACTCCCAGGACACTGGGTCAGGGCTCATTCCCATGTCCTTGGTGTAGGGGACAGGGCTCTGGAGACCACAGGTGCGCTGTCGTTAGCTCTCAGCTCATTTCTAATCATTCACACGTTCAGTGCTCGTGTTTCTCGAGCATTTCCTACGTGCCCTTATGACGTACCCTGCTCCGAAGCTTCATGCACATGTAATTTCCACCCCCGTTTTACAGATGAGGAAACAGAGGTTCTGGGAGGCGAGGGAGATAGTGTGGCCAAAATCACACAGCCGGTGAACGGTATGGTCAGGATTTGAGCCTCGTCTCCAGCCACTAGGCGCACGGCGAGCCTTCCATTTTAAGGCTTCCCTCGGCAGAGTTTGTTGGTCTCCTACCGCCGTGGAACGAGCTGCCACAAACCCAGCAGTTTAACCCAATCCCCGTTTAGGAGCTCCCGGTTCCGGAGGGCAGAAGTTGGTGGGGCTCGGGTCTCTGCGGAGGGCATTGCCAAGCTGGATTCAAGATACCAGTCAGGCTGGGTTCTTGTCCGGAGGGGTCTGGGGACGAATCCGCTTCAAGATCACTCTTGTGGGCGTTATTTGGCCCCATGTAGCTACAGGACTGAGGTCCCCGCTTCCTTATTCGCTGCCAGCCGGGGCCACCTTCAGCTTCTAGAGGCCCTCAGGATTCCTTGCCCCACGGCCTCCGGTCTTCAAAGCCAGTGATGCAGACTCTCCCTCACACCGAATCCCTCCCCTACTTTAAACATCTTTCGGCTAGAAGAGCCGGTCCTGTTTAAGGGCTCACCTGATAAGGTCAGGCCCACCCAGGATAGCCTCCCTTTCGCCATAGAAGGTAACACAAGAGCCCATTATATTTACAGGGTCCATCCACACTCAAACGAGGGAGGATTATGCAAGGTCAGAGGTCACTGCGGGCCATCTTAATATTCTGCCTGCCGCAGAAGATCTTAGGTTCTAATAATGATGATCACAATAGCTACAGTTATACCGATACATCTTTTCATTTGTTAGCGCTTCATGGCTCTCAGACCGATTCTACATCTGTAATCCCGTTGGAGCCCAACAGCAATGCTGTGGGGTCTGTGCTTTATCCCCATTTTACCCACCAGAGAGAGGAGAATGCCTACCTAGCCCAGCAAGGGCTGACGTCCAGATTTCTGACCCCCAGCCCGGGGCTCTTGGCGCCCATAGTACCCCTGCCTCCCATTAGAACCCTCAGACCGCTTTGCTGTCCCTGGAAGGGACGAAGCATCATTTCCAGGCAGCCCAGCCTACAGGGAGTACTTCCTTGTAAACTCGCCACATTGGGTCATCGAAACTCCAGCTTTTACAGGAATTGCCACTGGGCTGGGCAAACCTCACCTCATTTAGCAGGAAAAAACCAATAAAGCCAGAGGGGCGCAGAATCAAAACAGCATGTGTGCAGGAAGGGCCCAGCTTGGCAGGGGCCCAGCCTCCCCGCGGGGGAGGCGGTTTGGCCGAGGCTGTGAGGCGCTGGCCAAAAGCGAGGGGCCACGCGCTCCAGGGGACAATGTGTCAGGTAACAGTCACCACTGCCCTGTGTCAGCGGGCGCCAGGCATTCGGATCCCTCAAGCGTCAGCCCCCAGAGGCCCACATCTTCTAGACTTCCTGTGGGGTACCCCCTTTTATATTTAAACCAAGGCCCGAGACCCCAGTGAGAAACCCAGGACCCTGGCCCCTACCCTCTCCCTCACGGCCCCCAAGGATTCTTGAGGGTCTTAACATTTCTTCTAGGTACCTTTGTGCTGACATGTTAATTTTTAAAAATCCTCCACTCTTCCAAAATTGCTGTCTTTCCCCCCTTTATCCCCATGTTGGACACTGCTCCAATTCTTTCGTTTTTCCTAAACTATTGCTGACACAAGCCTGCTGGGAGAGCGGACTCTAGAGACAGCTGCTGGGAGCCCGTGAAAAGAATCTGGTGAATTTGAGCCGAGGGGGTCTCCCAGAAGGTCACCGGGGGTGCGCACAGGCCTGGAATACAGTAAATGGGCAAAAACTAAGTCCTCACGGGGCCTGGATGGCTCAGTCCGTGGAGCCTCTGACTTCAGCTCAGGTCATGATCTCGTGGTTCATGAGTTCGAGCCCCACAGCAGGCTCGCTGTCGTCAGCCTGTCAGTGCAGAGCCCGCTTCAGATCCTCTGTCCCCCTCTCTCTGCCCCTCCCCCACTTGCGCTCTCCCCTCCCGTAAATAAATGAACAAGCAGCTAAGTGCTCAGAAGGAAAAAGGGGTGCCTGCCATCAGGAGGAGAGAAAGTCTACGGAATTCGGGGTAACGGGAAGCCAGGGGGAGCACACTTGGAAGTAAATTTCAGAATCCCCATCCCAAAATTTCATTGCCTGGAGAATTTCACGTCTCATTCCCTCCCATCCCCCAAAGCCCTCCCCTTCTCCAGCTGTCAGTCACCAACAAGCACATTTCTGTGTTTTCTCCCACCCACCAATGCTCGGGGCCCACCGTGACACATCTAGAATCCCCTTAGCCTGCTGCATTAAACAAAGTGTTTTCTACCCGTTATGGTTGAAGTGTGTCCCCCCCCCCCCCGCCCCAAGAGATCTGCTGAAGTCTTATCCCCTTGTACCGATGCATGTGACTTTCTTTGGAAATAGGGTCTTTGCAGCTGTAATCAAGCTAAGATGAGGTCACTAGGGTGGGCCCCAGTCCAGTGACCGTGTGCTTAGAACAAGAGGGAAATGCCTTGTGAAGGCAGAGACCCCTGGGAGGAGGTCACGTGACCCAAGAGGCAGAGACTGGAGAGGTGTGGCTAGATGCCAAGAAGGCCCAAGGACAGACGACCACCAGCAACAGCTGGGAGAGGCAAAGAAGGACCCTTTCCTAGAGACTTTAGAGGGGACAGGGCCCTGCCGACACCTTGATTTTGGACTTCTAGCTTCCAGAAGAGACCATACATTTCTGTTGTTTTAAGCTACCTGCTTTATGGTCCTTTGTTACAGCAGCCACAGAAAACTAATACACTTCCTCTGGTCTCTAACCTTGTGGCACAAAGCAGTAGACAAAGCTATAAATCAGGGCGCCTGGGTGGCTCAGTCAATTAGGCCTCTGACTATTGATTTAGGCTCAGGGCATGACCTTGCAGTTCGTGAGTTTGAGCCCTGAACTGACAGCACAGAGCCTGCTTGGGATTCTCTCTCTCTCTCTCTCTCTCTCTCTCTCTCTGCCCCTGCCCATCCCCTCTCAAAAAATAAATAAATAAACTTAACAAAAAGCTATAAGTTATAGTTTGGTTTTTCCTTTTAATAAAGAGAAAACTGTAAAAGGAGTAATGTAAAAGGAGTAATGTAATGTCGATGATTTTATAGATGAGGAAACCAAGGCTCAGAAGTTAAGTGACTTGTCTAAGTCGCAGAGCCAGAAAGAGGCAAAGTCTGAACTTGAACTTGTTTTTTTTGGACCTCAAGACTTATAATCATCACCCTCCCTGTGGATCTGTGGATGTGTATCTCCTGAGTTATTGCAGGGTCCCCAACTCCTGGTCCCCAGATATCACCCTTCTTTATTACACGAGCTCAAAACTTAGGACTATCCTTGTCCTTATGGGAAGCACCTGTTCCAGCTACATCTTCTGTAACATGAGCCCTCTCTCCCTGGTGATTTTCATTACAAAATCGGAGATGCGTTCCCACCAAACTCATCTCCCAGTAGGCCAAGTAGGAATGTTTGGCAAAAAAGGAATTAATTGATATAAACAGCTTGTAGTACACAAACTCCAGAGTCTGCCTGGAGGGTTTTGCAACACTTTTGGAAACTCCAGGATTACAATTCCAGCACAAACTGTTTATTTCAGGCTGTTAAGCCACATACATATCCTGTATGCCTGAGAATCCCCTGGCTTCTCTGTGAACATAGGGAACGGAGCCCCTCTCTTTTCTGTGGGCGTTTTTAGTGGCTGGTAGAGCAGGGCTGCAATACCTGGGGAGACCAGTAGGGGTCTTTTTCCAACAGGAAATGGATTTAAGGCTGAAGATTCTTGAAACTGAAGGCTTTGGGTTCTAGAAAATAAGCCTGTTCCTTTGGGAGGAAATCCACTCTCCTTACACTGCGGGTTAACCACCTGGCATAAAGTCACTCAGTCCTGAGAACGGGGCAAGAAAAGTTGTGAAAACATCTGACTTTTCCTGCCTCCCTGTCCCAGGGTGGCACTGAGCTGGGGTCAGGGGGCCTGGGACAGCCTGTCTCTGCAGTTGGTACCAGGGGGGAAAGGAAAGCCAAAACGGCAGGCTGGCTTGCTTTGTCTCTTGTAAACAGTTTACCTTGGGATGACCAGATGGCTCATCTCTCATTGAGCCCTTGACCATTTCCGGTGCTGTTAACAGCCTCCATCAGCAGTCTCCGTCCACCAGCCCACATGCCTGCACAGAAGTCCCGGGACCTGCCGGCGGGGGAGCTCGGGCATCCAGGAGGCTGACTCTGCACCACTGGGCCATGCATCTCAGCCAGACGCAGGGGCTGGGGTTACAGGCAACCGTGGGGTATAGAAGGCGTGTGAACAACCGCAGTGAGTGGGCTTGAAATGTTCATACTCACCGGGCTCCTGAGTTACAGCCCCTCACCCACCCAGGGTCCTCCCGTGTGGTCCCTGT